GGTGTGAAAAAGTGAGCTCACAGCAGCTGAAAAGACGCCCATAGCTAAACGTCAATATTGTAGAGACTGTTTGCTCGGTGCTGCATAATATCATACAACAGTTCACAGAGATGACAACCTGTTATGATGTAACACCTAATAAAAGGGGCTGCGAAACACCAAGCTCTAATTACAAGGAGGAAACACAGAGAGACTTTTTCAGCTCGGTTAAATCCACCAATCTGTCTCTGATCTGCGGCCGTCAAATGACTGCAAAACTTGTACAGCATGATTCTAAAACCATGGTATAATTTGTGCGTTTGAAAGGCTGTGAATGTTTTTCTAGCATTTCCTGGCATCTAAAAACAACTTCGAGGACAAGACTTAAAGTGCAGTGAACTAAATATACGGAATGCAGCTCATCTCTGAAGTGGCCACTAAAAGTCTGGCTGGGCCTCTTCAAAAGCATCTCATGGCGGTCTCTGCTTTTATTGCTGAATGACTCGCTGAACCGTGAAATGCAATCCATAAGAGAGAAATTTAATTTCCAGATAACAAGAGGACAGAGGGAGACTCACATTGGGTTTCTGTCCGTGGATATCAAATCAAGTTGCTTCATTTGAATAAAAACAAGCCTGCACAGCGGAAAGACAAGCACTCAGCGAGCAGCGGAGGAGACATCATTTCCCCCTGGCTAAACCATCACCACCGGCTGACCGCAAGGAACAACACAAGAGACTTGATGGTTGAAGGTTGTTTTCTGTAGCTGCAACCAGCGGACGATTAACACTTGTTTAACGCAGTTATGTGTATGAAGTGAAAATGAAAGTTTCTTGAACATCTTCAGATCAATTCTGGCAGGTGTGCATTTGTCAACAAAGTTTCCTAAAAGCTACATCCCATCATAACAACAACAATTCAGACTGAGGTGGTCAAAAGGAACTTCTTCATGAAAATCACCCACATCTTAGGAACACATTAACCCTACGACAAAGTGGACATCACTGCCTCCACTGCAGAGCACTGTGGTTGCAGTGTGAGACAGAAATAAGACAAATGTAATTACAATACGCTAGACTGTTTGCGAAAGTTACACAGTTTACGTCCGAGTACTTTTTCAATTTCAATTTGATTCATGATGTAATGAGTTTCAGGTATTACTCTAAAAAAAAATACAAAGCCTACAAGCTAACAGTGGGAGGCTGAATACGATTGGCCAATCTATGTAACTGATAGGTCGATTGGCCAAAAGAAGCCTGACCACGTCACAAAGTTTATCACTTCTGCTGGCTCTAAGACAGATTTCCTTTTCAGAATTTTTCGGATCTAAAAAATAAAATTCGATCAAGACAACTTTGACCATTTTTTAAATTTGTATCTTTGTCAAACTAAATATATTAAATACGATCATACATCTACATAAGATCATACAGTTTTTTTTTATCCAAACCACATTATGACAGTTGTTGATGTCATTTTTCCCCCTTATTACAAAACTTAAAACAACATTGAATTCTCTAACAAAACCATTTCCAAAATGGAAAATATGTAGAGAAACAGCCGTTATTTTCAGGCTAAAGTTCTGCGGTCCGGAGAATATGTAGAGAAACAGCCGTTATTTTCAGGCTGAAGTTCTGCAGTCCTTTAATCTTTAATTGTTGGGTTTTAACTACAATGATTAACGATCCACTGCTCACAGACTCTTTTTTTAATCTAGGTTTGTTCAAAGTCAACCCTGGAGGCCAATTACAGCCCAAGACTAAAAATTATCTTGATGGCCTGTCAACATTGAAAGATTTTATTCTTTTCTTTTACGTTTTGACTCCCCGAAGAAGGCTTCATGCTGAGACAAACTGGAGCTCTTTGTAAAAAAAAAAAACATAACATTTTAGTAGTATGAAAAGCCCTTTCTTCAAACATTTTGGTCCAACTGGTCATAACTACACGGACAATCAGTACAATAAAGGTTTGCATCAACAAAAACAAAATGTACTGAAAAGGTTTGCACCATGTACATATATACATCGTCAGAGCTGCCAAAGGAATTTCATCAACAAAAAAATAAAACGATTTGTACTATATCGATCCCATATTTGGGAAATTCTTGTGTTAGCAGCAGATATGCTGTTAACAGGCTGCCCCTAGCAAGCGCCAAGCATGTGGTTCCTCTGGGAATCGAACCCAGCACTCTCTGCTCCCGAGGCAGGCGTGCTAAACGCTACATATGGAACCGACCAACATGTCTCTTAATTCCTCTTTGTTCTTTCTCCTTTCATTTTCAGATCTCCACATTTTAATTTTCTACATCATTTTCCCACTCTCTCTCACAATCGGGACCGCCCACATCACTCGCTGGCACTTGCAGCTCCAACACCTGTACTTGATTAATTTAGACTGAATACAGAGCACGTCATTAATTAGACAGAAATATCTATTAGTTGACAGCTCTAATCAAACCATTATCTTTCTGCGAGCAAGGCCTCAAAGAATCTAACTCAGCTTCCATTTGTTCTCGGATTTAGAAGCTAAAGGTCACACGTGGATGGGTGTTAACGGACAAAGTGACATTTTTAATAGCTTAATTATGTCATGTATTACGGTTAAACCTCTAAAAATATTTCTCTTTTGTTACAGGACTAGCATCCCCACAGGACAGACATATATTTGAAGGTTTTGACCTTTAACATTATTATAATGACATTATGTGACTGAAAAAAAATAAAATAATTGCTCTTCTTCACCCTAATGTCTAACGTTGTTTCCAGTAGCTTTACAAATACTTTTAATTACCTTGCTCAGGGTTTTGGGGGCAGCCATTTAAAACGTCTGTTTTTAACCTTTTTACTGCTTGTTATCCATTGAAATTAAGCAAAGCTAATTTGCGTAGCCTCATCATTGATCCCTTAGCTCGATGGAGACATGATCGTTATGTAGATTAACCCGAGACTGACATTCTCCTCTGGGACTTCAGTTCAACATCTGAGTGATTTAAAGAGATAAAAGGGATTAAAGCTCACACCTTTGTCAGACGTGAGAATGTCATAGGTTTAAATTCCCACTAAGTAACCGCCTTGATTTAAACCCTCACCTTAACATGGACAGAGCGTTAATATTGATATCTGGTGCCGACTATTGATTTTTTTCTTTAAATACAGGCTAACCCTGTTTAACCCTGACGCTGTAGGGCTCGTTTTTTTTACAATTTTACATCTTGAGAACAAAGAGAGGAAAATGTATTCAAAGTGGTTTTTATATGTCTTGTCTTAAATGTATATATGTTTATAATAGAAATTTAATACAAATTTATACAAAAAAAGTAACAGTTTTTGAACCCATTGTGTGATTTAACTAGTTTTTTTTTTGCTTTTAACGAGAGCAAATACGTAAATTAAAACCTTAACAAAGTCAGTTTTGCATCAAATGTCCACCATTATTAGGACCATAATAATGACATTGGCACCTGCTGTCACCAGAACACTGTCTCTTGTCTTGTGTGTGGTCTCTACCAGATGAGAGACCAGTATTGTACAGAAGGCTCCCTGAGTAACACTGACTTAGAACTCCAATTAAGTTGGACTTGTTTCATGTTGCGTGTACTTGAAATGATATCCTGAGCGTGGTCTAAAGCTTTGGCATTTTATGTTTTAACTTGTGATCAGGGCCGTAGTAGTTAGTAGGGGCTACTATGTAGTTAGCTTAGAAGTACTTCCCAGTGAGTCAGTAAAGTTTAGTATTTGTAATATATGTAGCAGTAAAATTAACTTTACTGCTACAACGTATGTTAGCAGCATGCTGCAGGCTAACGCTGAAGCAGTAATTGCTTCAATGACATTTAAAATGTTAAATGACATTCGGACAAGTAACATTAGTTTAACACCCATGCTGAGTTTAACCAGTCAGTGGACGGCCACACATGATGCAGAACTACTGCACGATCTTTTATGTCAGAAAGTTGGAACTCGTTTTCATTCACTTCATTCTGGTCACCAAGCACTGCAATTTGTGTCGGACTGAGAAGACGACTAAGTGAGTTTGTTTTAAATGTTTCATAACATGCAATTTGTGTCGTTAGACTGAGAAGACGACTGAGTGAGTTTGTTTTAAATGTTTCATAACTGCTTTTATGAGAATAAGACTTTGTGCTGATGAACACTTAACTTTTTGTACTCACTGTCAACTGAAGGAAATGGGATTCAATGAAAAATTGGGATCAGAAAGTCACACTGGCAAGTCAGAAAAATAAGAAAAGAAATCATAGCATCAGTGACAAAAATCGCAGTTGGTGCAGATCTAAGTATTAACACCCAAACGATGCTGATTATTGTTTTACTTTGTCAAATAATATCTTAGAAATGTCAGAACATTGTCCTAAAAAGTCCTCATTCAAACAAAGTGTTTCAGCAACCAGCAGAGCTTCATTCAGCCTTCCAGAGATTCACTTTTGGTATCAGGAGAAAGTGGAGGAGGAGGAGGAGGAGGAGGAGGAGGCAGCTGCACTGCCTGACTTTCACACAGACTCCTTTAAAAGAAGGACATGGTGTAGAGCTGTCACCATGAAAGGGGGGAAAAAGCCCCGAGGCAGCTGGTGTGCAGCCTTAGATAGTGCATATCACCACGTCCACCATCCTGGGGCAAATCAACAGTTTAACAGTTCCACACAACCGCTGCTGAAAGGAACGAGTCACCTTACACCAGTGGGGGTTGAACTTTTCTTCTCTTTTTATACAGATGTTCAAAGAACGCACTTTTATCATCTAAGGCTGCTAGTATTTCAAAGTAAAGCACCACCAAAAAAAGGAACCAAACTGAAGTTCCAAGGGTTTAAATAGGCTTTCAAAAAAAAAAAAAATACACACACAAAACAAATCTGTCAGGACTTTTGCTCTGTTTTGGTTTCTCTCGGCAACAGGCAGCAAGGACTTTGTGAAAACTGTTCCATCTTTGGGAAATTCTGGGGATAAATCTCAATAATTACATTAAACACCAGCTGTGTCTGAGTAATAAGAAGCTCTCAACAGTGACGAACTCTACTTTGGCTCTAATTTAGGGATGTACTCTAGGTGTGTGTTTGGAAAATCCTTTAAATGCCGTCTACGGTGTTTGTTATGAGGTATAACCGTTAATACAGAGCTGCAGCCAGAAGACTGCATCATTTCTGCGATTAGACGTTCACAGACTGTGGGTCAGACATGACCTGGTGGAAGGACAGTAATTACAGAGAGTTCTTCACAACAACAACAAATAAAAAAAGACATGGAGGTGGTGATATTTTTGGTCCGGCAAATGTGAAAAGTTACCATTTCCCATGGACGCAACTGGATAAAACAGGCAAAAGATACAGAATACAAAACCAACTCAATTTACCTGAAACCACAGCTTGATGCATTTAAACTGCACCTTTAACCGTGGGTTAAAAAAACCTGAAATAAATCATCATGAAAATCAGAAAAGATCACACAGAGCATCATCACAATGAAGCAGAATGATCATTTAAATGTCATGAGAGTGATAAGAAATATAATGTTTTTGAAGTGAAAATGATCTCACTGAATGGATAATTAATTTAAAAAAAAGGCTGTTTCACATTATTTTCTAACATCAGACACAGACATGACACATTCATACCAATCAAAGTCTAATATGAAATGTAGAAAAAAGACCAAGAGTCTGACTTCAACAGAAATGAGAAAAAGAACAAAAGAAGAACCAGACAAAAATAGTCAATCGCTTAATCCTAAACCAGAGGCAGGGATGTGGTTTGGTGACAGAATGTCCAACACAGACTGAAAACACTGTCATTTTTACAAATATTACCACACACTGGTTGGGGTTCTGTAAACTCCAGACTTCACGCCACTGAACTCTTCTGTTAACACGACCAGAACCACATCAAGGAGAACAGCGAGAGTTTATGATAGAACCATGTGGTGTTCAGACCGCTCTGGTCTCCCGTCTCCTCCCGGGGCTCGTTCACCTTTTTTAAGGAAGCTCTCCCATGACTTTTATTTTGACAGGCATCCTCACGTTTCAAGAGGTTTTCATAAACCCTCTTTTGCACTAAACAGCACGTCAATAATATGTTATCTATTTTTTTCCCCTTGCGACCAAGTACAAATTAACCACAGACTGGCGCACCGGCCGCTCTAGGTGTTAGTGATGATGATAAAGTCATTGGCAGGTCAATGGTATAAAAAAGTAAGTTGTGTTCCAAAAATAGAGAGCCAACATTTTTCTGGACCGACACCTTTGGGTCCGGACACTCAAATAAAATGGAATGTAAATCACTTTTTTTTCCAACTACAGACACAAATGTTGGCGATTACTGATAGTTATTTAATTTATCGTTTTGTTTTGTTTGTTTTTTTCAGTTGCTTTATTAGTGCAGACCACACAATATTTCCTCTTTGATCCTGACAATTCTGGAATCCAGTTGTGGGCCAGATAGATTGACGGCTGGGTTCGTTGGACTGGATTGGGCCGACCTGTTGATGATCACTGCTGTAGAGTGATATTTATGCCGTTACTTTGGAAACCGCCTTCAACCTGTTTCTCTGATGTACAAGCAGCAGCCACTTCATTATGGTACATTATTTCAGCTCCTTGAAACCCCAGAACTATACCTGGTACAGCATATTGATAATCTTCACCATGTGGCATAAAGACCACAGGTTTGACCCCCTGTGGTCAGTGAAGGTCTTCCTGTATGGGGTTTGCCTGTTCTGGAGGGTAAATGTTTGGCTATAAGTGGCCCAGTGATGGACTGGTGAACTATGGTGGTGTACAGCAGGGGTTACCAATCTCCGGTGCGGGGACCGGTGCCGGTCCATAGGTCACTTGGTACCGAGCGGCAGTGGGATACAGTGGAAAAAATGTACTTCAGTTTTACTAATTTACTTCACTGAAAAAGAATCCAGTCATATCTCTTTACTTTGTTCATTCAAAGATAATCTGTCAATGTTTCAAAACAACAGGTCATTCAGATTCTGAACAGATGTTAACAGAATAAAATCTAAAAGATGTTTTATTTTGGAAATTTAGTGATCCTTGGCGCGGTGTTACCAGTCCAGAGTAAAGACTGACACCGGCCGACTGTTTCATGGTAGAAAAACGGTTGGTTACCTCTGCTGTACAGTACACCACCCTCGCCTGATGACTGCTGCTAGATGACCAATGACAAATGTGAGTGGATAAAGGACAGGTCATAATTTAAGTGACTGCAAATGTATATTTTTTCAGGAGCAAAAGAGAGACTGCTGCAGGGATTTAAAAACTACAAAAACCCGATCTACTCTTTCCACTGAGGTTTATTCCATCATTAGAGTCCACACAGAATTGTTAGCTCAGAGCTAACAGTAACAACACCTTACCACCAAACCACCAAACATACAGACGATGGTCTACAGCCACAGTACCCAAATACCGGCCCACGGGCCACATGCAGCCCAGACATAACCTTAGAACGGCCCAGTCTGTGGTCATTTGGGAAACGTGAAGAGAAACCGAGAGTATCGCAATTCTAATCAGAAGTTGCCACTGTAGAACAGACCGGAACACTCTCCGTAGCCTAGCAACATGCAACCCACAATGCATCACTTGCGTGTCTGGAAGCAACAGCAACATGTCCCCTCTGAGTGAAGACATGTCAAAATCCCCAAGAAAGTTATGAGTTCAGGTCAATACAGATGGACAAATACTTTTATAATGGATTTATTGGGTAAACAGTTTGATTTGTACTGACAACAAACCAATGTTTTCCAATAAATCACATGTTTCAGTCCACACACAGGCCCAACTACATTTACAGTCCACAGACTTGACCGGCCACTTCCTTAGGTGCAGCCACCGACCAACGGAATGACGAGGTAACAAGTTACTCTTCAACGTAACGAGTAGCTCAGCAGTCAACACTGACCATCCTCGTCCACCTCCCGCCTTCACCTCCAGGCAGCCTCGGCGGTTACAAACACACCCACGTCCACTCGCTGCTCCGCGGATCATGTGCAGGAATATGGGCAGAGAAGTGAAGCGCAGTGCTGCTGCTGTGTGTGTGTGTGTGTGTGTAAACACACAACCTCTTTACTGCTGCTCCTACAGGAGCTCGTACTTCGGTATGGATATGGAGAAAGAGGAGGAGGTGGAGGAGGTGGAGGAGGACAAACACCCTCTGACAGCCTGTCGTAGCTGAAGCTGAGAAGTGAAGAAAAGCTCCACGAGTGCAAAAAAAAAAAAAAAAAACACCCGATCACACAGCATCGATGGATGTTTTTATTTTTTATTTTTCACTCCTGTCTCTCCTGCCTCTCCTATCATATCAACACCAGCCCGGTACGATTAACCGTTCCTACGGTCGAGTTGCCTGGATGCATGCAAGCGAAAAAGATCCTACCGTCTCCAACTGTGACGGGGAATTAACAGCCGCGATTCAGCCGTTTTACCTTAACGTGTCCCGTCGCCGGTGAAAACCATCTTCGACCAGGAAACACGATGATAGTTAAAAAATAAATAAAAAACAAGAATAATCCACGTCCGGGAGCTGTGGAGCGATCCGCGGAGCCAACAGCCCACAGGATCTGGAGACACGGGTGAACAAATCGGTGAGCGGTGACCTACTTCCGAAGTGGCTGCTGGAGATAATATCCATGCGCTGGCTGCATTAGCGGGACATCCCTCTGCTGTCATCTTCCTGCAGGGAACCAACTCCCTCATTGGTGGAACTAATATTTATTTTCACATTCAATCGCAAATT